TTCTGGCGTGGTGACATTTCAGAAATCGTTCTCGAGCATTCCCACTGGCTAGGATTGACCCCTCTGTGAGAGTATATAGTTCACCTGTTAACCAAAGTGACTGCTTCAAATAGCGGAGGTGAATGCAATTTTCAAAGTACTATTGGATTTTCTGATGTAGCTGCCAAAGTAAACAGAAAACAGAAATTGCTACTTAAAGACAGGAAATGCGGGTCCAGAAGAAACCTGCACCGATCCATCCCACAGCCGGCATACCTTACGGATTTGGCAAGACAATGGGGTAAATGAAACCAGGGGCGTGGAGAGGGGGCGCCTCCTTCCGGCAGCCACGTGTAAGGAAGGCTGTGCTCGGGACATGGTTTTCAGACTTGAAGAAAGAATAAGTCCAACATTAGAAGAACCCCAAATAAAGAAATAATAAATAAGTTAAATAAGGGTGGTCCTCTGCGGGAGGAATAGCAGATGCCAAGCCCAGGGGCAGGAAAATACCCAATGGGAGGTAAAAGCAGATAAGCAGGTCGGAATCCCCACAAGGTCACGTGGCTGTCTGCTGGAGTGCTCCCCACTGCTCCTGGGGTGCTCTGCGTCTGTCTGTGTCTTGCGTCTTCCTTCTTGAGGTCGGGGGAGAGGCTGTCCCAAGGCTGCTCGGGACCTGCCTCCTTGGTCTTCTGGCCCAGCTGTCTTCCCCCACCTCCTGCCCAGACTGGACTCTGGCTGCTGATGCCTGGCCCTTGGGGACCGGAAGCCAGCTTCAGGCACATACGTTTTTCAAAATACCAGCCATGTAAGGACATGATGTCTCTAACTAAACACTCAAAGCCCCCCTTCTTCTCCCCAAAGGAGGTGGAGCCAGGGTCTGGGGCAAAGATTCTGGGTGAGTGGGGTGGGTCCTCAATAGAGCGGAGGGAGGTTTGCTGGATTGGGTCTCCTCCCTCCAGGGTCTTGCCCCCAGGCCCCGAGAACCCGCCTCAGCCGCTCAGGACCTGGGGTGGCCCCACTGGCCCCAGCCCAACGGCTGCCGAGGACAGATCCAGGGTCAGTCCCTGGGCATCAAGCAAGGATTTGGCTTCTGTTTCCTTTTTTATTAACTTTCTACTTTGTACTTTTTATTGTGAGACATGTTATACACATATAAACTACTCTATATAACATACGCACACTTTAAAGAACAAAATGTTTGTTTGTTTAGAAAGAAACTGGGGCGGGACGCCTGGGTGGCTTAGTCGGTTAAGCGTCCGACTTTCGCTTAGGTCATGATCTCGCGGTTCGTGGGTTTGAGCCCCGCGTCGGGCTCTGTGCTGACTGCCAGCTCAGAGCCTGGAGCCTATTTCAGAGTCTGTGACTCCCTCTCTCTCTGACCCTCCCCTGCTCACGCTCTCTCTCTCTCTCTTTCTCTCTCTCTCCTAGAAATAAATGAAACATTAAAAAATATGTATACTAAGAAATAAACTGGGGCGCCTGGGTGGCTCGGTCGGTTAAGTGTCCAACTTCAGCTCAGTCATCATCTCATGGTTCATGAGTTCAAGCCCCGTGTCGGGCTCTGTGCTGACAGCTCAGAGTCTAGAGCCTGCTTGGGATTCTGTGTCCCTCTCTATCTGCCCCTTCCCTGCTCACGCTCTGTCTCTCTCCCTCTCTCTCAAAAATAAACATTAAAAAATAAAAAATAAAAATAAACAAATTAGGTCCGGATACTCAGTTTCAGTCCAAGAAGCCACCTTTGCTTCCAAGTGCGCCCGTGCGCTCTGCCCTGTGCACGTTCCCCACGCCTCGCACCCAGGTTAACCACTGGGCTGGATGCCAGGCCGAGGTCGACCCCCCCAAGACCCAGGAGGACCCTCGCAGTAAGAAAATCTTAGGTTTCTTCAGCTCATAACTACAAGGGAGCACCCAGCTCAGGAAACTCAGGGATGCCTCTGAAGGGAGGGGTCTCGAAAAGCCCCCCAGGGTCTGGGCTTGTGCTAGACGAATCCAAGGACTCGAGAAGCGAGCCCAGGTCTGGACGGAGTGCTGCCCAGAGACAGCGCACATAATTATTCTGACCTAGGAGGCAGAGGGGGACAGCAGGGACGGCACTATCACCACGAAGAGCCGCGGGCAGCCAGAAAGGCTGTTGGGGGGGGGGGGGCGCCTGGGTGGCTCAGTCGGTTAAGCGTCAGATTTAGGCTCAGGTCATGATCTCACAGTCCGTGAGTTCAAGCTCCACATTGGGCTCTGTGCTGACAGCTCAGAGCCTGGAGCCTGCTTCAGATTCTATGTCTCTCCCTCTCTCTCTCTCTCTCTGCCCCTTCCCCGCTCACCCTCTGTCTCTCTTGCTCTCAAAAATAAATAAAACATAAAAAAAAAATTTGAAAGAAAGGCAGTGAGGAGGGAGTCATATCACATGGGGGTCCAGTGCAGCCTGGTGTCGGACTGGATCTGCACACATTTTGGAAACAGTGTCAGCAACATGCTGTCGTCACTCAGGCTGTCCCCCCCCCCACCACCGTCTATGACAGCCGAGGGGCTGGGACCCATAGAGGCTCAGCAGTGAGGCTACGACCCACCTTGCTCTGGCTCTCGGCGTTTACTGTGTGGCCTCTAACAACACTGCCACCGTGAGTCTCAGTTTCCCCACCTGTAAAGTGGGACTAACAGTCACCAGCCTCACGGATCTGTGGTGGAGTAAGCAGATTTAAGCGGCTCGCATGTGGGTGGAGCTCAGTGAACAGAAACCTTGTACCCCTCTGGGGGGGGAGCCTGGAGCCATAGGTCAGCGGTGGCCACGCGGTTCCTGGGTGCAGGAGCCGGAGCGCTTCTGGGAAGGCCCGGGGCCATTGTGATCTTCCATCCAGGCCGCTCCTGAATGTGCTCTGTCCCAGCCCCGCCCCAGCGGCAGGGGGCCCCCCAGAGAGTGGGGGACCAGGCAGGCTAAAAGGCTGGAAGGAAGGAAATGCAGGAAGAAGAAAGGAATGAAAGGGAGGAGGGGGGAGGGGAGAGGGCAGATAGACTCTGGGGAAAAGGAGCAAATGACGGAGTAGTGGAGATGGGAGGGGAGGTCTGGAGAAGTAGAGGCAGGGAGGCCCAGAGGGAGGCCAACAGACGAAGGTGTTCAGTGTGGGACAGAAGGAGGGAGGAGCCCAGGCGAGCCCTGCCCCTGTCCGGGCTGGGGCAGGGGTGGGGTGGGCAGCCTGGCCTTGCCAGCTGCTGTTAGCCTCCACCCGCCACCTGCCGCCACAGTGGGGTCCCAGCAACCTGCCACTCTGTCCATGGGGACAATAGGGAACTGTCCGGAGCTGGGTCACCAGCTGCCTCCCCAGAAGGAAGCAACAGCCGTGTGTCCCTGCCCTGGGCCTCAGGGTCCGCTGCCAGCCCAGGGGAAAGCAACAGGGGAGGAAACGGGGAGGGGCCCACCCCTCCATGGCGGCTCCTCCCCTGTGTGTCTCCCCCTCCCTCCCCTTCTCCAGGCCGCTCTCCATAGAGGTTCCCCCACATCTGCTCATCACGGTGGAGGGCAGGCTGGGGGAAAGGGCAGGGCACAGAATACGAGGGTGTTAGGACATGTGGGTGTCAGTCTCCACTTTGTCACTGTGACAGAGATGGCCAGCTCTCTGTTCTCCCCTTCTTCCTGATGAACGGCAGCCCTAACTTTGGGCTGTCCTGAGTAGAGACCATGTGTGTGGCCCCCTCTGCAGTTAAGAGTGGCCACATGACTAAGTCCTGGCAGATGCAATCTAACGCAGCACCTGGGGCGTGTCCTTTGTGGGAAGGCCAGGTTCTCTTTCAACCTTTCCATGTTTCTGCCCTGGAATGCAGATGGGATGGCTGCACCTGGGGCAGCCATCTTGGGTCATGAGGCAGAAGTCACATGCTGAGGAAGGTGGAGCATATGAGGAGCAGCCTGGGTCCCTGATGATCATGGGGCTGCTGTATCAGCCTGGAATGCTTGCCTCTCTTTGGTTACTGGAGAGAGAAATGAACTTTTTGAAGCTACTGATTGGGGGGTTTCTTGTCAGTTACAGAGGTATATAATCATAATTGGTAGCATCTGTAGCTTATGGTGTTACCTCAGGTCAGCCGTTTTCTGCCCCTGGGCCTCAGTTGATCCACCGGAGCAATGAAAATTTTGAACTTGTAGAATGTCTCCAAGGAGCTTTCTTGTTCCTTTTTTTTTTTTTTTTTAAACGTTTATTTATTTTTGAGAGAGAGCAGAGTATGAGCAGGAGAGTGGCAGACAGAGAGGGAGACACAGAATCTGAAGCAGGCTCCAGGCTCTGAGCTGGCATCACAGAGCCGACGCAGGGCTCAAACTCACGAACCACGAGATCATGTCCTAGGCTGAAGTCAGACCCCCAACCTACCGAGCCCCCCAAGTGCCCTACATGTTCTGTCGTCTAAGGTTAGAACCCAGGGCAGAGGTTCGTTGCTAAGGTTAAAGGCCCTCCTGGTGAACTGCCTTGACAGCCTAACAATAGACTGAAAAGTAGAAAAGTTGCCAAGAGCTAAAGGGCCATCAATACTGAGAGGAGCTTGTACGTATCTCACCAGATCCCCCAAGGTCCTATGATAGGGACCCTGCCCATATTTCCTACCTCATCTTCTATGACCGTTTGTCTTACTGCTTATGCTCCAGCCACACTGGCCTCCTTTTCAGGGCACCAAGCTTCTGCCCACCTCAGGACCTTTGCACTGGCTATTCCCTGTGCCTACAATGCTCTCCCCTTCAGATCTTTATTCAGTCCTCAGCTCATTGTTTTCTCCCCAGAAGGGCCCACCCAACTCTCCCATCTAACACCACCACCTTTCCCTCCCTATCAAAATAAAGCTCAATGTCCTTTACAGCACTTGCTGAGAGCTCATGTTTTCTTCCTTATCCTTTGTTTCTTTTTCTTCTGACTTCTCTAGTAAAACATGAGTTCCATGAGAACATGCACCCAGCACGTTAACTGCCAGATTGTCAGGATCCAGAACAGCACCCAGTGCATAGCAAGCGCTCAGTAAATATTTGATGAATAAATATGGAATTGACAAGGCCATTGACATTTATTGAGCACCTACTACTGCCAGGCACTGCGCTTATGTGGGTCATCTCATTCACTTGTTCTTAACACTCTTAAATGTTTCAGATCTAGGACTGAGATTCAAAGATCACAGGTGACTCACACTCCAGTCCCGGACCTCGGAGGCGTGGGCCCAGGATTTGAGCCCACATGTCCTTGATCAGGCCCAGTGGGTTTCTGTTATTCTGGGCAGGCCTGGCCACACGCTCTCAGGAGATAAGAGGCATCCTCGGATGTCCTTAATGCCTCCCAGGCAGCCACTTCCCCGGCTTCGAGTTTCATCAACTTTCCCATTATTTTCTCGGGAGGATGTGCTTGGAGGCTGTGGAATCACAGAGGCACTGGGTGACATGAACAGGGATGCTTCTTCCCGCTCTGAGATGTGAGGATTGTTTCCTTCAGGAGAGGAAAGAAAATGGTATGATTTCCAAGTACATCGTCTGCCAGGCCTGCTTCAGGGACCCCGCTCCTGCCTACATGGCTCACACTGCCTTCACACCAACCCTGCTCACACCGCCTTCACACTGACCCTACTCACACTGTCTTCACATCGACCCTACTCACACTGTCTTCACACCAACCCTGGCTGGGAGGCAGCTGTGTAGCCTTGCGTTGGTCTCTTTGCCCCTGGACCTCTGTTTTATCATCTGGAAAATGGGGATAATGACAATACCACCCTTGAACGGGCTGATTGAGAGGTCAGCGGGATGAAAGAGGGGCCAGGGTATTTGGTTGTAAGGCTTAAATCAAAGACATTTCCTTCAGCTAAATAGAAACACTTTGACCTCCATCCTGCGGGTGACCCCCTATCTCTGACTACAGCATCCTGGTGCCATAACATATCAATGGCTCATGAATTTGAAATCCCCTTCATCCCAAGTTCCCTCCCTTCCCGGCCATGTGATTTTAAATACATCCCTACACCGGGTTGGGCCTCAGTTTTCTTATATGCCAGCCAAAATTCTAAAACTTCTTTAGCGAAGAAAAGCCATGTTGCAGTCCCTTTAATAGAGGTCTCTGGGTGGTGCACCCAAGTTTGGAGGTGCCTACAGCTGCGGGAGAGGTTGGTGGGGAATATGACAGTTCTCCAAGAAATTTGGAAGGCAGGGGAAAGAGCCGCACAGGAAACATCACGTCATTGGCAAAGGTGCCAAGGAAATGTCAGAACAAAATGTGCTGGCTAAGATTTGGAGATGAACAATCCATTCCCGGCTGCCCTGAAGCAAATCCCCTCCGCTTCCCAGCATCCATCTCAGGCAGAGGAATTAGTCACTTTTCAGTTCTCTTCAGCACCGTGGACAGCACCCCCGGAGTCCCCACCCCCTTCCAGGCTCCCACCCAGGCCCCTCCGTGTACCAGGCATAGTGACTGGCACCACTGCCAAAGGAAGGGACGGCCTCGCTCCCCTCATCCCTGAGGACTCACCATCTGGTTCAAGGCAGGAGGGTGTCATGCAAGGAGATCTCCCTCACACAGAGCTGGGCGGAGGGACCCTCCCAGCCAACATTGGACTAGGTTTCCATTCATGCGTTTGACTGCCGTGTGCCTGGTTGGGCACCAGACATCGTGGAAGAAAAATACAGATGAATGAAGAGCGTGCCTGGCCTTGAAAAGCGTGGGGCTGGTGGAGACAGCTAGGAACCGATGGTTACAAGACTGATAAGCAAAATAGCTTGCGCTAATCGGGTGCTTGCTCTGCGCCAAGCATGGCCCTGGGGGCTTCACACATGATGTTGTAAGCAAACTCGCTACTGTGTTTAGTCTTGTTTTGCAGGTAGGGAACAGGGTCAGGTGACTTGCCCAATGTCACTTGGTGATGAAGGGCAGAGCTAGGATTTGACCAGGTGCTCAGGCTCCAGAGTCTGTGATGGAAGCCACAACCACAGTCTATGATGTAGGGTGTGGAGGCAGGTGGATAAACTCAGAGGGGCAACGGAGAATTCCCAGGGGAGGTGAGACCTGTGCTGAATTTTCCCAGGTGAGGAAGTGGGGAAAGGGAAGAGACAACAGTCGTGTGAAGCCAGAGAAACACAGCACATTATGTTGGTTCCTTGTGGCTACAGCAAAGGGTGTGGGGACATGGGAGCGGGAGAAAGAGAGGTTACGGGCTCCCCAGAGGTGGGCTCTTGAGAAATGTACTAAGCGTGGGAGGTGGGCTTTCTTCTGAAAAGAGAAAGCAGAGGGTTTCAAGCCTTGAAAGAAGGGGTTCACATTTGTCTTCTGGAAAGTGGCTGACAGTGTTTTGGGGGGTGGAGTGGACAGGGACCATTGGAAGGTGGGATGGCCAGCCAGGGGGCTGCTGAAGAAAATCAGGTGAAGGAGAGCAAGGGGAGGTGGGGAGGAGGCAGTGGAGTGGAGAGTGTGACCACAAGAGCCCTTGAGGAGGACATGACCTTGTGGGTAAGACCACTGGCCCTGGCTGCACACCCTAGGGTTCATCCCAAGATGAGGTGCGAGGAAGCCGCTGTTGACTTTAAAGCTCATGCACTTTGCTCCTGAGCCCCTCTTGCTCAAGACCTAGGTGCTTTTACTTCACATACAATTCTGACAGGGTCGGGGGTCTGATTCCCCAATGCAAAGTGGGTTAGGGGTGGGAAGTTTTACAGGATGGGGGAACTGTTAAGAGGTGGGCGCGCTGTTAGTTAGCAATGAGGGATGCTGGCTGACGTTAAGAGACCAAAACTTTTTTTTAAAGCATAACAAAGTGGTCTCAGTAAACTTCAAAGCATCAATACAACTTATATGAATGGGTACTCTATTTAATAAAGCAGAGAAATAGTTCATATTTTTAAAAATATTGCTACCCAAAGGCTAAAATATAATTTGATAACTTGAGTAATTAATAGAGCAAACCCTCAGCTCTGCAGGTTGACTGGTTGCCCCTGGGATCCAGGGAACCAAGACCTTTGGGTGCCTCGCCTGCTTTTCAAAGCACCTTTCAGAACCTTGTCCCACCCATCAGCTCACCTGATCCTCACAGCCCCTCCAGGAGGAAACTGGGTAGAGGGGACACCCCCGTGTCACAGGTAAAGAGACTCATGCTCCTGTCCAAACAGTTCTTCATCCTCAGGGTCAGGCCCGAGCCCAGGTCTCCGGATTGGCGCCTGGAACTCCGGCGCGAGTCGGCCTCCCTGTTCGTCCCTCCCTTCCGGGACAGGCCACACCCACCCACAGGTGCGCGAAACCTGCTGCTGCTGATTGGCTGGTGACATGGCACAGACATCATTTGCATACCCACCAGCCAATCAACACCCAGTCCTCCTGCAGACACTCTATCTCTCTAGTCTCACTGGGACCGAGTTCTGACGACCCGGACAATCACCTGCCTTGTGCGGGACGCTCACTGTGGCCAGGGTGCTCCACCGGCTTTGCGTGGGTTCTCGCACTGAAGGGGCGCCCCTGGCTGCGGTGGGACTGCTCTCCTTCCCATTCCTCAGATTAAAGAGCTTCCGAAGTTTCACTTCCTCACCTTCCGTAAGGGTGGTCGGCGGCGACCACTGTCACCTTACTGGGCCAGGGTTGACTGGCCTCTGGCTGGCTAGCCAGTGTGCGCTTCCTCCCGCACTGCTCCATGTGTCTCCGCCACCCCCACCCCAAGCTGCGCCCCGGGAAGACGACCTTACCTGACTGTGAAGGATCGTTCCTTGGGCAAGTAGCTGCGCTCCCCTGCTGGCACAGCCCACGGACATCCGGCTCTCAAGGTCCGTTCGTAAGAGACCTAGTCCTGTTTCCAAGGTTCAGATACATCCCAACGAGGTGCTGCGTCCAGGGAGGGAGGGAAGCAAGCAGGGAAGGAAGGGAGGGAGGGAGGGAGGGAGGGAGGGAGGGAGGGAGGGAGGAAGGAAGGAAGGAAGGAAGGAAGGAAGGAAGGAAGGAAGGAAGGA